TGTGCCTGCCAGAGACAAATCAAACTCCCTCAATGCCATCTGCTTCTGTGCCACATAGTAAACTATCCTGGGGGGACCCAATTTGTGGGTGAAAAACTCAGATGTCCGATAGCCAATCTTCACCCAACTTGGCAGGCATGTTGGGAAAATACATAGGAAGCTTCGGTACAATTTAGGATTCTCTAAGTACCTAGGGGGAACTTTCCTGGGGGTGTCCTACTTGTGACTATATAACACAGAGATCCGTTATCCAATGTTCACCATACTTGCTGAACTTGTATAAACCATATTAGGAAGCTTTCCTGCAAATTTAGTGTCTCTAGGTGCTTGGGGGCTAGTTTCATAGCATTTTAAAGTGAAAATGAATTGACTCATCAAGTCATCGATTTGGCAATGATTATTCGTAAATTTGTATTCATTGATTTGTTAACCTTGACGAATCATGAATCACAACAAATTGCTATTTTTTAAAAAAATTGTCCCCATCTCTAGTTTGTATTCATAGTTACATGAAAGATGATGAAACTGTAGCCACTTCTGAGTTGATGATTTCTGGAAAAAAACACTTATGAGCATTTTCTACCTAGAAAATCCTAGAAAAGAGGCACCATAAATGAGAATTAATTTGATGGCACACAAAATATCTTCTCTATGGTAGAGCCTTATACGTCTTACATGTGGTGCTTTTGCATGTAACACTAACTCTGCAACACAGAACAAACTAAACAGCACCAACTAAAATAAAAATAAAGCATAACCTTGATAAAAGGGAGCCAAATGTGTGTTTAAGTAATGTTGAACATTAAGTGAAGTGCCAATACTGGATAATAATAATTGCATGCCATCAATAATTGCGTGCCATCTGACTTATGCATATGATCAAGAGAGTAATAATAAGTTGAATTAAATACAGGGATTTGTTGTTATGTGGCATCTAGTCAGAACGGACTTATAATGACACTAATGGGGCTTCCAGGGTAAGTGAGATATTTAAGGAGTTGTTTTACCAGTTTCACCCCTCAGTTGAAGTTCCAAGTCAGAGCCTGGGAATCTAACCCTTATTTCTTGAGTCCTGGCCCATTACTCTATTCGCTGTCCCATACAAGGTACCCAGCACCTGACATGAGGAGTATTAAAACTCATTGTCATAATTAAGGTCCATGGAAGTTCAAATGGAAGAAAAAAAATGTTTCCCTACCTATCTAAAAACCACCATGGAGCTTATGAAGCTTCTTCGGGTAAGGAATTACCAGAATCTGTGATCTAAAGTCCCTGCAATTTATACAATACCATGGAGTGCTCACACATTCTGTCTTCCACAAATACAGAGTTGATGAATCATGGGCATGAGCCTATTTGTGTGCATATGAAATATCACATGCATGGGGCAGGTGTGGAGGACAATGCAGGCCATCATCTCCAAATGTTCAGATCCAAGTCTGAAGACCTTTCTAGCATAAAAGATTCTGTTTTCTCTGGCATTCTCTCAAGCTGTGAGAAGATCAAAAACACACACACATAAGCATACATCTCCGAAGAAATGTGTATAGACACACCGAAATAGAAGCAAGCAGAGAGAGAAAATAAATGAGCCATCAAGAATGGAGCATGCCAGCTCTCTAGAGAAATATAACCTTAAGACATTTTCCTTTAAAAAATGGGTAAAATGCAAACTTCCCCCATCTCAAGGGGATCTATAGTTATTACATACAATATGAACAGTAATGGGATGCCTGAGCAAGAAAAGGTCAACTATCTACAAACTTTCCTTCAGGCATACAAGATATAAGAGAAAAGTAGGTCAAGTTTCAAGGTTAACATACCTGTAGACTTGTCTTGTTAGAGAAA